GATATCTCCAGCAGTTTTTGTGTTGCTTATGATATGGGTCTTTTGTGTTTCCATGTGAAACTTTCACAGAATTTTGATGGGAATTGTACTGAGTCTGTGGATTTCTTGGGGGTAAAAATGACCACTTTCATAATGTTAATCCCACCATAAACATAGAAGTTATTTCCATGTTTTGGTATCATCTTCTCTTTTTTCTTCAGTGTCTTAAAGTTTTCACTGTGTCTTTTGTTTCATTGGTTAGATTTATTATAACATATTTTGAATGTTGTGAGACTATTGTGAACGGTACTATTTCCATGATTTCTTTCTTAGTCAGTTACATCAGAGAGATAAAAAGAAAAGAGCATGTCAAGTTGGCAGGAAAATATTGTACAGAGAGTAGGGGAGTAATTGAATGTGAGAAAATGAATATATTTGATCAAAACATATTCTACGTATGTAATTAAATTTGTTTATAAAATCATGAGAGAAAACATGAGCAACTTGAACTGATCCCAAACTTGGCATGAGATTGGATCAGTAGGAGATTGCTTCCTAACAAAGCAAGTTGTCACTGTAACATTTAGAAGAGCTAGCACAAGTGCTCATAAATCCGTTCCATCAAACTGGAAAACATTACACTAAGTGAGGTGACTCAGGATCAGGTAGACTAATGTTGCATGCTCCTCCTTATGTGAAGGTCAGAGCTAAGAATTTTGAGATTTGTCTATGTAATCTGGAACGTCTGTGCAAGCCTGGAATTGAATAGGGCCCATGGTGGATGGGAAAGACTTGATGAAAGTGGGAATGGTGTGACACATAGGCTCGGAACACGGAGGAATGGGAACCTGGAGGTGACAAGGTTTAAGAATGGGTGATGGCTGGATGTGGGAGAAGATGGAGTGAAGGAAAGGATTAGCTAAAACCAAGGATTTAGTCAGCACTTGAAGAGGACATGACATGTCATAACATCTGTCTCGCTGCTGTCCCTTATTGCTCACATTTTCAGAACCTTCCTTTTTTTAAAAAAAATATATAGTTTAGGTTTTCTGCTTATTGCTAATGGCAGTACAAATGATAAAGTGTATTTTTCTATGAAAGCTAAGTACACATGGGACTGACCCAAACCCCCTGAATATGGATGTCAGTGAGGAGGCCTAGGCAATCTATGGGACCTTGGGATCAGTATTTATCCCTGGCATATAAATGGACTTTGGGAGTCCATCCCACAATGAGACAATGAGACATGCTCTCTCAGCCTGGGCTCTTGGGGGAGGGCCTAGGCCCTGCCCTGAATGAAATGATAGACTCTGGAGATCCTCCATGGAGGACCTCACAATCCCTGAGGAACAGAGTGGGGATTTGGTGGGGTGCTGGGGGGTTAGGGGGATGAGGGAAGAGGGGAGGGAGAGGGAGCTGGGATTGACGTGTGAAGCAAGCTTGTTTCTAATTTAAATTTTGAAAAAGACAAAAGCTAAGTACCAGTTGGCAACAGGATGTGATGAAAGTTCAAAGTCACTGACTGTGCAAGGGATCTAATGATTGACTGTATGAACTATTGGTGTATTTTATACAAATCTATTAAAATCCTCATCATATATTTGTCTCATTTTGCTTATTTTTTCAACGTCTTAAAAGATGGCATCACTCAAGGGCAGTGTTTCTAAACCTTCCTAATGCTGCAGCCCTTAAATACAGTTTCTCCTATTGTGGGGACCCCACAGCCATAAAATTATTTTCATTGCTATGTCATCATTGTAATGTTGCTACTATCATGAATGAGAATATAAATATCTGTGTTTTCCAATGATATTAGGTGATACCTGTGAACGGGTCATTCAACCCCCAAAGGGTCATAACCCACAGGTTGAGAGCCACTGCTCCTGATTCACAAATAGGAAATAACTAAGTAAGCTTCCTCATGGGGAGAAAGATTGCAAAGGGGCTTCTGTAGCTCACTGCCCATCCTTCATATGTCAGACCTCATTATTTCCTGCTCCCTTCCAGTGGGACATTGTCTTCCTCCTGGGACCAAGAACTATAAAACCATCATCTGCTCCTCTAGTATTCTCTTCAGAGAGAAAGACAATAGCAATTCTATTTCCCTTTCACCTGAGACGAACAGTTCTCAGAAGAGTCCTTTGGCTGCTCCCACCTGCATGTCCTTCGCTACTACAAGCGAAAACATAGTTGAAGGTCCAAGGGGAGAGGAGGTCACAGAATCACAGACCTATCCATATCTCAGGCTTGGATGCCTCTCTCCAGCTCACATGGTGTTTATAGGGACCATGGAACTGACACCAGGACCCCAGCAGGAAAAAGCCTGTGGTAAGTCTGTCCAACTGCTCTCAGAAATGGGGAGAACATAAGGGAAAGCTTGTGTCAGGCGTCTTGGTAAGTGATCACCTCAGCGAATGGGACTTGGAATCAGACCAGGTTGATGACAAAGTCGTGTAGGAAATGAGGACTCCCGAGGAAAAGTTTAGGCAGCAAAGACACAAGAAGCCCTGATCACACAGAAAACCTTGCTTCTCATTTGAGGGTCCCAACTAACAGTTGTTAGGACTTAATATTAGGTAATGAAGGCTTGTTTTTAATTGATTAAAGAAATGTGTTTGGAAACCAGTGTGCTGCTCAAGCCCCACATGTGGAATCCCAGACTGGATGTTTGACCTTTCTAAGACTATGTATTCTTCCCGTACATGATCTCAAGTCCGTATGTGGGATGAAGGTCCCAGCTTTATTCAATCATCTGAAGGTTTTTGTGTAGAGTTGAGCTCTCATTTTCATCTGTGGGTGTTTTGGCTGCATGTATGTCTGGGAACCATGTGTGTGCAGTGCCCAAGGAGTCCAGAATAGGGATTGGATTCCCTAGAACTCCAGTTACAGACACTGTGAGCTACCATGTGTGTGGTGATACTAGAACCCAGGTCCTCTGGAAGAGCAACCTTGATTTAAAATTTTACTAGTCCAACTTCATACCATAAATATGTCATTTTTTGTATGGGCTCTACTATAATATCAGCAATGCTGCTTCAATGGCAAGAGAACTATTTAATTGCACTAAAGATACTTCAGTGTGCCATGGTTTTGTTTCTTTTTAATAATATTTTATAAGCTCTTTGAAGATTTCATACATTGTTAATCATATTGCCACCCCCTCCTCATCTCCTTCCAGATACTTCTTACCTCTTTTTTTTATCAACGCAATCTTGTATTTATTCTCTCTCTTCCCCTCTCTCTCTTTCTCTCTCTTTTTCTCTCTGACCCCCTCTCTCTTTATCTCTCTCTATCTCCTCTCTCTCTCTCTCTCTCTCTCTCTGTCTCTCTCTGCCTTTGTCACTTTGCCTCTGTCTCTCTCATGCGCTCTTAACCTATTAAATCCAACTTGTGTTGCTCATATACTACTGGGTGTGTGGCTTGCCCTGGAGTCACACTCTTAGAAAAAGTATTGACTCTCACTCTCTCAGCAGCTATCACTGGCCAATGGCTTGTCATCTAGAGGTGGGACTGCATGCCCAACTCCTCTCTCCATGCTAATATTTTATCTGAATTGAGCTTACACATGTCCTTAACAACATGTTAACCACACTGAGTACATATGTGCAGCTTCTCTGTTGTGGAAAGAAAAAAAAACTGTTTTCTTATAGTCGTCCACTGTCTCATACTCTTACAATCTTTCCATGCCCTTTTCTATGAGGTTTGATTTTTTTGTGCTCTATTCATGTATTGGTCCTACTAACTATGTATGGTATTATGGCCTGCCTTGTGACTGCTTGAATATTTTTGTGATAGAGTCATCAGCTGGTATTTCAAATATGAAAAAAGTGAGTTCTGGGTAAGTTCCTGCACTTGGCTCATTCCACGAACTCATCATGATGTAGGCCCCTGAGATACTGTTTTTCTCACTGTTGATGAACGTGATCAAGCATCTCAGTGACCAATCCTAATTGGTACTGGATTATACAATTAAAATTCACAAGCAAATGGTGGAGTCTTACAGAAAAATTCCCCTGGAAGCATAATTAGATATTACAAAAAGCAAATTAAATACATAACTTGTAAAAACACAGGTTCTCGCTGGGTAACTCATCTCTCTGGCTGGCCTGGAACTCAGTACTCAGTATGGAGGCCAGGACAGCCTCTAACTCAGAGAGTTCCACCTTTCTCTGCCTTCTCAGGTTTGGGATTCAAGAAGTGCACCACTCTACCCTGCGTTTAAATACACATCATAATGAAGGACTCCAGTAAGTAGTGACATTGAAGGAAGGTCTGTTGAAAATGTGTACTCTGTCAGTACACAGTCACTTCCTTGTACTTGTAGACCAGGCTGGTCTCAAACTCACAGAGATCTGCCTGCCTCTGCCTCCCGGGTGCTGGGATTAAAGGCATGCACCACCAATGCCTGGCATTGTGCCTCTCATATAGCCAGAATCCATTGACCGCAAATGCTTTATAAAATTGCAGCATGTAAGTCATTAGCTGTTTATAGTTCTTTGTGAAGCAGTGGGACCCTGTGGAATTTTATGCCTTCCACATTTTAGCATGTCTATAGACATTGCTGTGATTACAGACTTATTTATGTAGGTAATTAGAGGACAGAATGTTTCTTCCTGGTATTCTGGCTCTTAGCATCTTTCCACTCCCTCTACCACGATGTTCCCTAAGCCATAGATGCAGGACACACCTCTCCCGGGCATGAACCCTTTATTGGTTGTCCAATACAAAGTCAACCCTAAAAGGCTTATATATACAAACAGTAAGAATGGTCTCAGAAGGTTATTTTTATGCAATTGTGTATACAACACACATTAATATACACGTGCAAAAATAACAATCAAAGAGAAAGAAGCTATCAGCTGAGAGGCATGCTGAGTGTTGGAGGGTGGGAACATAGGAACGACTGAAGGAAGTTAAGGGGAAAGTGATGCAATTCTCATTTAAAACAATGTAAAATGAAACAGTATAATGAACCACAGTGTAGCAGCTGACAATAAGTCCAGAGAGACAGACACCTATAGATGGAGAATGCAGAGATGCAGGTGACATGGAATCTGGAGCCCTTGCCTCATTTCCCCATGCAGGCTTCCCCAGCCCGGGAATCAGTAACTTACAGGATGAGGGACAGAGACGTGGCTATAGGAATCATCTTCTTAATACAAACTTTGGCTGGAGTTTCAGGCAATTCCTACCTCATGTACAATTATCTCTCGCTTTACTTCAAGGAGCGCCAACTAAAGGCCAAGGACTTGATTCTGATGCATTTAACTCTAGCCAACTTCTTAACACTCTTCTGTAAAGGAGTGCCCCAGACAATGGAGGCTTTTGGCATCAAATGTTCCCCCAGTGACTCTGGGTACAGGCTGCTCTTTTACCTTCACAGAGTTGGCAGAGGTGTATCTTTTGGCAGTACCTGCTTATCGAGTGTCTTCCAGGCCATCACCATCAGACCGAAGCATTCCAGCTGGGCAGGAATCAAAATTAAAGCTCCCCAATTAATTATTCCCTTCATATACTTGACCTGGATCCTGTCCCTGCTGGTGAACACTGATATACTCGAGCACATGACTGGTAGTTTGTGCCATACAAACATTACTCATCCAACGGATTTGAGATACCATTCTTCTTTTCCTTGGGAGGAACCTGGTGAAATGTTACATGTGATCTACGTGACCCTTCCCGATGCTGCGTGCATGGTGCTCATGCTCTGGGCCAGTGGCTCCATGCTTCTCATCCTGCACAGGCACAAGCAGAGGATGCAACACATGCCCAGGTCCAAGGTCTCCTCCAGATCTCCTCCTGAAACCAGAGCTACCCAAACCATCCTTCTCCTGGTGAGCACCTTTGTCTGCTTTTACACCCTCTCCTCCCTCTTTACCATCTATTTAATGTTTCTGCTTGACCCTGGCTGGTGGATTGTAAATGCCACTGGAGTATTCTCCATGGGTTTCTCCTGTCTCAGCCCCTTTCTGCTAATGAGACACAGCCCCAGCTCATCCATGTTTTGCTGTACGTGGACAAAGAATAGAAAATCCTCCCTAATTTCATAATGGACATGTGAATACGGTTGAAGAATTCTCATTTGTTTTTTAGTCATATCCACAGATGTTTAGTCACAATATAAGCAATCTTAGCATCTACGAGTGGTGATTTCTGCAAAGAAGCTTTTACGTTAGATATGCATGCATATGAATACACAGGTGTATGTTTCTGTGCACGAACACGTGAGCATGTATTCATCCAGATCATGTTTATTTTCCACACAGAAGTATTATGTGAAAATCAAGTGTAACGTAAGTATATCTCAAGAGAAAATGAAAAGTGTGGATTGTACACTTCAAAAGAGTGATAATTCTGGCTGATCTTACAGAGACCCTAAGTTTGATTCTCAGCAACCACATGCTGGCTCACAGCCATCTGTAATGAGGTCTGCTGCTCTCTTCTGGTCTGCAGGTGTACAAGAAGGCAGACCAGTGTATATATAGTAAATAAATCTAATAAATCTTTTTTAAAAAGAGTGATAATTATAACCATGATAGAGTCTATTAAAATACTTCATTATATTATGTGCATGACTGTTTTGTCTGTTTATATATCTGCACACCACATTGGAGTCCAGAAGAGAGAGCTGGGTCCTCTTGGAACTAGTCATCAGCTCCCATGTGGGTTCTGGAAATTGAACCCAGGTCCATTACACAAACTGAAGCACAGAGTATTTCAGCTCAACCCCTGAAACGGGTCTGATACCTTTCATGAAGTGGTGCATGCATTTGATAAACAATTTTTAAAATATCCATGCCCAAGTCAGACATGCCTTGATCAATGAAATCACCTCCCTGAACTCATCTCTGCATGCAGCTCCTACATTGAAAATGAATACTACAGGGTCAAAGTACATCATTATCTGCCCCCCATAATACTGAGGGTGTTAACTACTGTGACATCTCACAGTATACATTGGCTCCTCACTTTTTATTTTATATAAATTATATCATTCAATGTGTTGTATTTTACCTTTGCCTCTTAAAGTTCTATGTGCTTTAATTTCTTTCTGTACTTTCCTTTATGTTACAGAATTCAACCACATAAATATAAAATTATTTTAATGCTACTCTATTGAGTCTCATGTGCTGTGGCTGAGACATGATTTGAGTTTCTCCATTTGCTAGAACTTTTGTCACCAGGATAAAAGATATTGATTTGAGGCAGCTTTTAGGAGACAAGCAGTAGAAAAAGATGGCTGTGTCCTGAGGTAATATCCCTTTGAGTGGGATTAACATTGGTCCCCTGGTTTGCATAAGTTTTCACAATAATGAATTGTTGAAAAACAAATTTTGATGTTTCATTGCCCTTTTGATCTCTATGAGCTCCACTGATTTTTGCCATTAGTGTAGCATGGATTTGAAGATGCCCTCCTAGCTTTCTCCATAAAGTACTCAGAGCATATGACTTTTCAAATTGAAGAATTGCAAATGTCTGTATGTTTTCCAAAGTTCGTAATACCACTGTTGTGAATTTCTGGGCATGTAAGTGCACCTGCACTGGAAGAATGACAGATTTACACCCATTTGAATTTCAGAAGTAGAGCCAAACAGTCCTGAGAGAGAACATCATGCATGTCTACCCTGGAAATGCTCTCATTTTAACAAAATATCATGTGACATGTTCCATTGTGCAGTCAACTTTTGCTTTATTGAACACCCTTTCCTATTGCTAGAGGTTCTCCTTCCTTTATGGTTAACACATCGATGTATACCTTTCAAACTTATATTAGTGTTATAATATATGTTGGTAATTACTTAGGTTCTGCTTCTAAGTGGACAAGGTATTGTTTTGGAGGGAATGGGTGGGTTAAATGGTTTACTAGTTACTTTTTTCTTTCTTTTTTTAAAAACATAATCTCTTTATTGACTCTTGCGGAATTTCACATCATGCATGCTAATTACACTCACCTCCCAGTCTCCCCATATCCTCCCTCACCCCCACAGTGCCTCCCAAAAGAAAAAATTAAAAAATCAAACCAAAGCCAAGCAAGCAAATGAACAAAATAAACAAAACGAAACCAAAACAAAAACCTTTTCACTTTTCCTTCTTTCCCACTTTTGTAACAACCCCTCATTTGGTGGCACTGGGAGCTGAGGTGTGTCACACAGCATACCCTTTTGTCCAATTGTAATGTGTTGTAAGTCTGGTTCAAAGCCTCTGGTTTCTGGTACACCGTTATCAATGGATCCTCACTCAAACTCCTCTGGGATATTCCCAGGCCACTCTCAGTCACAGTGATCCTGTGGATATTCTTCCACAAAGTCAGTCCCTTCACAAACTCCAACAGGTCCTACACGGCATAGATGTTACGGGTGGCCAACCAAAGACCTGACTGTGGGCCTGGGTGATAGCTGAGCTCTTCAGTCCCGGCCTGCGTTCATCTCCCTCAAGCTGGGGGCTGGAGCCAACTCCCCGATGCATATGCCATCACGGTTGGTTCTTCCTCACCTGTGTTGAAGGGTAGTGCCACTTCTCCCAAGGACAGGGACCAGCCCTCTTACTGCAGTGTTCAGTGGGCGGCAGGGCCAGCTTCCCCAGGACCAGAGGACAGGGCCAGCTCAGCATGGCCCTCTGATTTCATCACACATGGCTCCTATGGCCCCGTGAGGTGACACGGACCTCAAACATTAACACAGACCTCAGCAGGACTACGTACCCAGTCATGCCCCTGGTGACATCCTGGCTCAGAGTGGAAGCATTAACCACTCATCTCAGGATGGCTTTGGTGGCAGCACGGATCCCAGACATCACCAAGGCCTCAATTTGTAGCCCCAGGACTCAATATAGTCTAAAGATTTTGTTTTCTCATTTTTATTAGTTCTCCTATGTTTGTATTTTGATAATATTTACCAGCTCCAACTTCTGTCCTGCCTACCCGGTCAGCATCGTATCCCCTTTCATTTTCTTTCTTAGACTCATCAAGTCCAATTTGTGTTGCCCACACACCCTGTAATGTGCGATTTTCACTGGAGCAGGCTTAACTCACTGTAGGCCACACCCTTAAGAGGAAGTGAGTGACTCTCCTCTTTCCAGCTATCAGTTGCCAATAGCTTCTCATCTCGGTGAGAGGCCGTGCTCACCTCTGCTCTGCACTCTGGAATTTGGTCTAGTTTGAGGTTGCACAGACTTGTGTGTGCTGTCCTAAGTTCATACGAGTAACTGCCCTGCTATGTCCAGGAAACAGCTTCCTTATAGTCATCTGTCATCTCAGGCTCTTCCATTATTTCTTTTCCCCCTTCTGCAACGATCCTGGAGTTATCCGGGGATGTATGTGATACAGATTTCTAATTCACAGTTCAGCACATTGTTGAAGATAGAGGTTTCTGTCCCGCTTCGTCCCACAGTGGCTTGGCTCCAAATACACACAAGGACGCTATATTGTCTTGAGTTCTCCCCTTGCCTCCTATTTCTTCACTCTGGCTAGCTTCAAGTGTCCTTTTCTCTGGCATTCGTGTTATGTGTACCTCTCATGCTAGCCCTTCTTGTTCCTCAAAACGTTACCAATGCCACAGTCCCTCATGACTGAGAGTCCACATGTGGTCAAAAAACAAAAAAAACAATGAGAGGGGTGTGGTAGCACTGTAGAGCAGAGAAAAACATCAGGGTCTGTAGAGTAGTAGCCTCTAGCCTTGCCGGTGTATTTGTTTTAGAGGCCACACCCCTTTGGGCGTAGCTTCAGGTACAGATGCAACCTTGAGGCCAGTTCGAGTTCTCTCTCTTCTCTCTCTCTCCCCCTGCCCCTCTCCCTCTCTCCCCGCCCCCGCCCATGTGTCAGCACCAGAAGCCACGCCCAAAGGGGTGTGGCCACTAACACAAATACACTGGCTAGGCTAGATGCCTCTACACCACAGACAACAAACATGCTTTAGATTATATATGATGAAAGGAGTCTGGATCCTTGGAGTGTTACTTCTAACATCTAGGAAAGGTTTAGTAGGTAAATGTCAGTGCTCTCAACAAAGTGGCAACTCCTGACATCTGACTTCACCCTTCAAAGCCCTGGGTTCCCCGCAGTCCTCCTGAGAAGCTCTACACCTTATAAAAATCCAAGGAAAATGTAAGACCTGTGCATGTCAGATAGCCGAGTTTATTCTGCTTTCTGATTCGTGTAGTCTTATATGTGTTGACCGAGATGTAGCTGGCCATTGTCCTTCTCCTGCACACAGTGACAGGCCATTTCCAACGGTTGGTCCTCTGAGCAAACAGCACCACACCACATCAGTAGATGTTTGAGCAGCTTGTTTCAGAGATCTGCAAGCAAAAATGAGATGTTAGGTTTTTGATGATGAAATCAATTTCAGGGCAAGCCAGTATGAAGCTAAGTTTGATGTGCTAAAACTAAACAGAAAGGAATTTGGTGTGAGAGTAAACTCATATCAAACAGGATGGGTATGCGCTTCTCAAGGGGAAGGGGGCAATTACCTTTTTTTTGCTTTCACTGTGTGGCAAATGTGTGTGTGTACGTTTTAGTGACTTTCATTTTACATCACTAAAGATTGCTAAGAAAGCTCCTCTCTGTTATTTACCATTGCTCGAGGGCTATAAAGACTGTAGCTTATAATGATTTAAAGAACGTCAGTGCTGGAGAGATGACTCGGTAGTTAAGACCAGTGGCTGCTTTTGCAGAGGATCTGGGTTTGGTTTCCAGCACCCACGAGGCATCTCATAGTCATCTGTAACTCCAGTTCTGAGGGATCCCACAATGTTTTCTGGCCTTCTTGGTTACTGAATGTATCCAGTGTACTTACATACATGCAGGTAAGATATTAATATGCAGAAATAAATAAAAGTGTAATAAAATAATTTCTTTTGGCAAAGAAAGATAGGAGGTGGATTTACTGGGGGTTATATAGTGTAGTTTTAGGAAAGAGGGGGGAGTGCTAAAAACTCAAAATTATACATCATTTTAGTCCTAAGTATGGGCAGTTTATGTTCTATCCTTCTCATGACATCACATGGAAACTCATATCAACCCCGAGGGCAAGTTTTGCTTGATCAGTGTCAT